GTGCTAGTCGATGATGAAATACTATCATAAACAAGCGTCGCACCTCCACCAATTAATTGTTTGACAACAGCTGTTGTTGAAGGTGGAGGATAGAAATATTTCGGATAACTAACAGGCGGATTCGTGCGTTCGCGCGGTGTACGGCCGTTGGTAGGCACCGATCGATTAGATGCTGCTCCGACACTATCTGTTCGTGGTTTACTGATTGTCAATTCAGCTAATCAATGTCATTTTGATTAGATAAACATGGACAAAATCAGTTACTCGCTTACCCGATGGACGAATAGGTAAAAATGATCGTGGTTTTCGGTTGATATGTTCGCTGATATTGCTGGTTAGGGCACGACCAGTCATGCTGGCTACCTATATATGATGGAATTCTGTATGTATGAAGACTTGGGCGTTAGGGGGAAGTTTACTCGACGCATTCCAGGTCGATTATTAAATGAAGGTTGAAGATGGTTGCTAGAGATACTCATAGACAGATTTTCAGTACTTGACATACGATCAAATTTTTGTTTCAATTGTTTAACCATGGGACTTCTCGGCCGATCGTCTTCGATCATATTCATATGAGGTTGATTGAGCTGAATTGAACAAAAATCGATAAAACAGAACAAAAATTAAGAGACTAGTTACTTCACTATCGTGTGGATTTTTCACTTGGAAAACAACACTAGTCGTATGTCGACGTGTAAGATTTCGTTTCTGTAACAAAAGGAACGCTCTTGTCACTTGAAAGAAAAAGTTTTCTATTGCACAATTACTTGGCGATCAGGACCAACTGTGCTGCTGAGTAACTCCGGTAAACGTATTTGCCATTTTGACTTAGATAAATTCACTTCCAATTCCGAATGATAGATGGATGGTGATAGACGCATCTCTCCTATCCGAAGACAAATTAGTAAAGTTATGTTTCAACGAAACCAAGTATACTCGAAACATTACTTTCAGGTCGTGCAGCAGGTGCTTGCCGATCAATGTAGAATGGTTGTTGAGTTGTTGATCTTTGATCTTCGTCATCGGAATATAAAGATTGAACACTTGTCTCATACAAACTTTGCCAATCTTGATAGAATCAGTCACATTCTGAATCGCATTGGATTTATCTTACTTACTTCCGATCAGTCGAGTTGGATAATCATCTTCTGTATGATTTCGTTCATAACTCTGATTCTGATTTTGTCTTACTTGTTGTGTAATCTTAGGTACTGATATAACTGGCAAATCGTCTTCATCGTGATCGTCACCGTACGAAAAATTCATTTTGAAATTGCTCTTTTGTATTTACTTTTCTTGCTATTAAATGATACTCAACGTGTGGCGACAAGACTTCGTTTTGTCTTTGATGAAAAACGAAGATATGATATGCAGAGCATGTGAATATCTTCGTGCATTGAGATAAGGATAAAAAATACCCTTTTTCTCTTGTCTACAAACAAGTCTAATGCGACATGTTACGATGTATAACAGGAGGCAAATTTCTTTATTTGAAACCAAATCAACAAAAACATAAATATGAGATTTTCATAACCAAGTAGATGATTCTACTTGTTCACCATCCGACGGAATACTATCGATATCGATTGGAGGAAAATTGGTATGCCAATTGTCGACCCGCTGGGTTGATTGCTTGATAGTATCAGGATCGGTGTCGATAAAACGATGTTTACTGGTAAGAGAATCAGATTTCTCATCTCCCATGGAACTTTCTGTCGGCGTCAAGTCGTCGCCTTCTGAAAAGCAAAGAAAGTTTCATAAATAGTGTCAGATTTTGGAAAAGTCAAACCTTCTTCATCAACAACTGATATTTCGAAAGAAGACGAAGACTTGCCAGTTGAAGAAGATGACAACTAGTTCGAAAAACAAACAGACCGGTGATTTGCGAGAATCTCATAATTTAGCACTATTTTTCAAACATGAAGAAATCTTACCGTGTGAATCTTCTTTTCAAATATAATTTGCGATAATAATTCATCGAAATCTGTGGATTGTAATAGTGAATTCTAAATCTTTATCATGTAATCATAAAGCCCAACGATGAAACTCTACTACTTTTTGTACTTTGGGGAGACGCGCTCGAAGAACTTGTTCCGTTTTGTGAATCAATAAACTGCGTAAATCATTCTCATACGTTGGATCGATTACCGTAGTTGTGCCTGAAAAATTGCTTACAAAATCATTCATTATCTCGCAGCGAGCAACTTTGACATTATAAAATACAGTCTCTTGCGCTGCAATTTCAATAAGTAGTCGCGACATGAATCAACTTATGCGACATTATAAATTGATGACAGATTGGTGTAGAACAAGAACGAGATCTTTTTTTCGGGACAAGACTTACGTCGAATCGGACCACACAGAGCAAGACGGGCACGCGTGATTTCCGAGGAGATTTGCTGTTGATGACTTTGAAGATTTTCTGTACCTATGAAATAATAATCGATCGATAGTAGAAAAACAAATCCGTTCATACTTTTCCTGTGTGCAGATAATTCTGTATCGGATAGGTCGGATTTGAGATTCTCAAGCAAGAGAATTAAACGTTGTGCGTATTGGTTCAATTCATTTCGTACACTTTTATCATGAACGATATAGGAAACCACCGAGCCTAAACGAAACGACACGCTTTCGATCGTACTCTTTCCCAAGATGCTTACCAGAGTCAGTACTATCGCTTTTCGGCAGTGTTCCATATCCAAAATCTTCATCTAGTTCATCAATATCAGCTAGAAGAAAGCGAGTAATTCTGCCGGAAAACGAAAACATGCAACTCACCCAGTTCCTTCTCTCGTTTATATAATTGTCGGACAATTTTTGCGCTTCCACATCGTTTAAACTTCTTTCCAATTTCCACGTAAAACCATTCACCCGTTAAACCTTGCAGTTCTCTGAAAAACTTCTATTATTAGAAAATAAATTCTGTTTAATTGTTTTTACTTTATCCTTGAACACATTTTACATGTCCACGTTCTCGTCAGCGCCGTATACGTTGCACAATCCTGACAAACATATGACATACATTTCGAGCAAATTTCTCTCGGATCGAAGATACGTCGAAATGATTTCGAACATCGAATACATCTTTGACTCGACGGAATGACATGATCAACACGCTCATATTCCTGTCGAATCGTTCTTTTCAATTCTCTAAATGAAAACATCGATATTTTTCGTTGCAATCAACCGAAACTTACTCAATACGTTTGCATTCCTTCTGTCGCAATTTAAAATCACGTTCAATAACCGCCACAATTCGTCTAATTTCATCAGTATTCAAAGTTGACAGTGCTGATGAGTGCAACAGAGAAGATCTCTTCATATCTTGTGAAAAACCTTTCTGTTTCTCTTCTATTTAAAATGAGTATGTAATAGCACGATATGACGGTACCGCTCTCGGGCGCATTTTACATTTCTTTCTCTCGCTTTTCTTTCTTTTTTGTATTTCGTATGAATAACGATGATATCGAATATATAACAGAAATGAAAAAGGCTTTGCTTTAACTAATAATCAAGTCGATTTGTCACTGAAACATTACGAATACTTCGAGTTTGTGTATGAAGAAAACATTTCTCATTCACAACGACGAACAAATCAGGAAGCATGCTGCCTTCGTTAGGATTATCATAATATTTTATTAATTTCAAGATGAAAACGTCTTAAAATAACTTCGAATGAATATTATTTACTTCAATTTTCTCGTTTCTTCTTTTATTATCGTTGAATGCATATCGCTTTTCATGAAGTATTTGATCTATTTAATACTTGAGATTTACATACGCTGATAATTGTTCTAATAGTTATTTTTTTCGATGCATACAGAAAGTAAATTTTCCTTTCGCTGGATTGGTCTTGCGAAGAAAATCTCACGAAAAGAACGAGATTTACACGGCAGCGAATAATTCTTGAGCAAACAGTGATCAATGAAACTATCCTAATTATTTGTATTGTTCAGTGAACTCTGAATGAGAGTTCTCCTTCAGGTTTATCTTGCGATTTCGAATATTGTCAAACTGATATCATAAATCATTTGGAGTAGCATCTCTTATTCAATAAAACATCGCCTTGAGATTGCAAAAGAAAATACTGCAAAACTAACTTTGCATGATCTTCCTTTTTTTCTCGTGGAACAATTTGAAAGTTTAGCGCTTTCTTTTCTCCTTGTTATTTTGATTTCATTGTATACATGCCCGAAAGCATCTTATTCATCTTCCAGGCAAAACGTAAAGTAATCAAGCGAATTGATGTTTCATTTCCATTTCATCTTAAGCTTTTTTTTTCTTCTCTCTTGTGACAACACTTTCATTGACTTTTTCTTATCCTTTCAATGTGCTATCTGCAAAACAAGCCTTTCTCATTCTTGAAGAATCGTGCAAAGAAAGATGAAGAGAGAGAGAGAGAAAGAAAAAAACATTGTATAAACATGAAATTTAAATCAAACTCTATTTGTTTCCTTTGAATATAAATACATCTGATGCATTCGAGCGAACACAGCATGCGAAAGAAGACGATGACGAAGAAGAAGAAGAAGAAGAAGAAAATTGAGTAAAGAAGTTTGTCAAGTGCTTCCATCATCAATGTGTATGTGCGAGAGTAACGCAAACGAACTACCTTCTTCTTTTCTATTCATTCAAATTCGTGTGCACACATACATAAATGCACGCCGGGCAGGTATACTTGGGAACGAGAAAGAGAGCGAAAGAGAGAGAGAGAGCACATACAATCATCCTCGGTCACGACGACGCGATGGGGATTTTCGTTTTCGCATCACCAGCGAAGAAGAACAGAACATAAAGAGAGAGAACGGAGATGGCAGTGGTAGTTTAAAGCAAAATTGATCAGCAGCAACCTGTAAACAGAAGAAGAGAAGAGAAAATGCCATCAACATCACTACCTTATATGATGACAACTTAAACGAAACATACATACATTCGCACACGCACATACATTTGCACAGCATACATACACACATACAGAATAGTAGAAGTAAAAGACATCGATGCGACTAAAAACGAAAGCAGCCAAACGTCTTTTAACGTCGCCACCACCACCACCACCACCATCAGCCTCACCGTCCGCTTCCGTTCAACCCGGTAAGTTGAGATGTGCTAATTGACAGGAACAAATCTTATTTGATAATTATTTAAATACATATCATCTTAATCCTCTCATTGTTGTTATTGATGGTCCAAATCACGATGAACAAACATCATCACTACACCTACACTTCCTTTTCAATACATATGCAAGTCGTTTGATTTTCATCTTTCAAATTTCCGAGAGACAATAGATGCGCGATCGTTTTCGATAACATAAGAACAGCGAATTAAGGCATAAAAGACGAATATTATCTTGAACATGAAACATGTAATATGATTCTTTGTCAGTCAGTTTTATCTCATATACATACTTCAGTTAATAGAGCCTATTATCTGTCTGGGATGCGGCTGGTGATGATTATAACGAGAGAGAAAAAAAATGGACAAATATTGACCCGTGTAGGTGTGTGCGTTTAACAAAAAAAAATTCGAGATGTACAGATCGAAAACTTATCTCTTCCTTTCTCTTTACCTCGCGTTTGTTGTCTGAATATTATCTTCATTCTATGTATGTTGATTCAGTTGAGGATTACACACGATCATAAAAAAAAGGAGTAGAAAAGAGAAAGACAGCAGTGTCATATTTACGATATCTATCTAGATTCTCTCCCTCTCTTATGAATGAGGTGACAAGCTCACAGCATGGATAATCATCGTCTGAAAATTGAGTAAAGAGCGAAAAAAAGATATAATTACCCTGCGAGCTAGCTCGAACGAAAAGAAAAAGAATGCAAGATTCAACAACGAATTCGTTCAGGTGGAATCATTTGTCTGAAGGAGAACGAAAGAAATATATTGGCATCTCTCTTCTCAAGTTATATTCAGGTAGGAGAAGCGAGAGCGAAGGAAAAGAACGAGAGAGAGAGAGAGACGGATAGAGAAAAAAGATAAAATTCATTCAACGACAATTTCATGTCTTTTCATTTGAATAAGAACAAGGCAAGCATGTCAAGTAAGTCATCAGGTAGCAAGCTGGGGCACCAAATGGATGAGACATATACTCATTATCATTTTTATTTCTCTGAAACATGCAGCAAGAGAAAAGTGGATGATATGTATGAATCGAACGAATTGACGGATAATGATATCGTTTCTGATGTGTGAAATTGAATTTTATCCATTTAGAACAAGCAACGATTATTAATAAATCAAATAATCTTCAAGTGACAAATGAAAATGCAGACGACGAACAACACACTAAACGAATTCTAATGCGATGCACAAATCAAGATGAAGAAGGTAGAGAAGAGGAGAAAAATCGACCAAGTTTGATCTGTGCATGCTTATCATATTCTTTTCCCTTTTGAATATTCTAGCACTCGAAGAACCAATAACAAATAATCATTTATTAATGGAACCTGATGAAAATGAACAAGATAATCAGACACAAAGGTAAGAGAAAAGTTCCAGTCATCTTCCCCATTGGGTACAGATTGTTATTCTTGTTAGTGAAAGAAAAAACTGTTAATTAGAATATTGGTTTGTTGGTAATATTATTGTATAACGAGAGAAACGACGCCTTGAGCAGAGAAGTGAAAACAATAATGTTATTCTGTTGAATTTTAATATACTGAAGAGAAAGACAGTGTGCATATGCGTGTCTCTTTCTCTCTTTCTACTTCTAATTCATATTTAATCAGTCAAACTTTAATTTAAAAGAATGTATGTCGTCGTTGTTAGAAGACGACAACCTCCGGTGAGGAAGAAATCTATTTGAGTATCTATTTTAGAATGTACGAACCTATAAATAATCATCAAAATACATCCAATTCAAGTGAAGCAAGCGAATGTGAAAATCGGCTGTATATGTGTAATGATTGTGGCAAAGGATTTCAGACATCATCGGGTTTGAAACAACATCGAAATATTCATTCGAGTGTCAAGCCTTGGAAATGTGAGGTATGGAGAAGTTTTCTTTTTCTCTTCGGAGATAGACGGAGCACTTCTGTCATTGGTATTCTTTTAGTTTTGTACAAAATCTTACACTCAATTTTCGAATCTCTGCCGTCATAAGCGATCACATGCTAATGCGAAAGCACAAATCGAATGCAAAGATTGTCGACAAGCTTTTCAAAGTCCTGTTGCTTTAAATAAACATCGGTAAGTAAACTTTTGTTGTTTTGTTTTGTTTTTTCGATACACAAAATCTCTTTGTAGAAGTTCGTGCAAAGAACGAAATGGAATGATAAATCCAGATCTATCTTCCTTATTGCCTTTTATGAAAAGTGTCTGCACACCATCAGCAGCAGCAGCAGCAGCACTACCGCCGCCGCCTTTGCAGTTGCTATCGGCATCAATAAAGAAGGTTGAGGAACCTATTGATTTATCAAAAGCATTGAAACGTTCGCGACAATCTTCTTTTGATCAACCAATTGATTATTCAATCGTCAATAAGAAGATCGATGTCAATTACCAACGTATTTCTCACGTTTTTGGGAATAATCAAGAAAAGAAGTTTAAAAAAGAAGACAACAACGAAGAAGATGATGATGACGATGAGGAAGAAGATCAACGCCAGCGATTATTATCCTTAATGAAAAAGCAAATGAAAGATTTCGATGAGCATCGGCCATTGACACCCGTATCCTCCTCGTCAAGTCCACCGAATACGTCATTATTTGAGAAGAAGTTTCTAACTAATGACCTTCTGCCAACACCGACAATGAGTATTCGCAATCGGGATCGATACTGCTGTTCATACTGTTCAAAAACATTTCCACGAAGTGCCAATCTGACTCGACATCTACGAACTCATACAGATAAGTATATATAATAATCACATGCATTCGTTCGATACTTTGAGTTCTCTAAATTCGACGAAATATGTTCGGAAATTCTAATCAAATGTTTTTTTTTCTTTTTCTTTTCTACGAGAACAACCGTACGTCTGCAAGTTTTGCAATCGAAGCTTTTCCATTTCGTCGAACTTACAACGACATATTCGAAATATTCACAAACGCGAGCGACCATTCCGCTGTACGCATTGTGATAAATGTTTTGGTCAACAAACCAATCTCGATCGACACATGAAGAAACATTTGTCTCAATCATCTGCAATGCTATCGCTCATCGATTCCACATCAACTATGCCACTGATACCTTCGACATCATTATTTCATTCACAGTCCAACATCGATGAAAATCTACCACAGAATTCAACGGACGAAGACGATTCAAGTGGATTATCCGATGACGATGAAGACGAAGAGGATGAAGGAGAAGAAGAAATCGATGAAGACGATGAAGATTTAGAAAGCAACTCCTTATCAATTGATCAAACAAATGAACCCATTCACCAAACGATATCAACCGTAGCTTAACTTGTTCATTTCTTACATTCCATGTTTTTCTTTCTTGTCTTAGCTGTGATTTGCCATGAAATGAAACTGATTCACATCATATATATATATTTTTTATCTTCCGGTCTCAAATTGATATGTGTATCTGAATATCATGATGACAAAATTTATTGTATATGTGTGTGCGCGTGTCCTACTCTACTCATTGCTTTTGTTTCATTCGTTTTTTTTTAGTTTTATTGTCTCTTATCCTCAGGCCACTATTGACACGTTGGAGAATGATGATCTGTAAAGACAAAAAAATGGATAGAGAACGTCTTTTTTCTTTCTTTTTTGCGTTCGATTTTGTTTTGCTACTCATGATTAAACTGAATATATATATATTTACTATCGTTTGTTGATTTGCCGAAAGGATACGAATATTGACGGAGACGAGATATTTTACATAATAATTCAATTTCGAATTTTGACGTCGCAGTTATCCACATTTACTCCGAATAGAAAAAAAAACGAGATTAAAATGAATACATTAACAAATACAATACAAAAAAAGCGTTGATTAAGAATGATTCTTCTTCTATGTTTAATATTGACTAGAATATTGATGAAGTCAAAAGTCTTATTTGTTTGTCATTTGGAAAACATTCGATGCCGCCATTAGGTTTTCGATATATTGTCCTAAGACTTGATTTTCTGAACGTAATTTGAAGTTTTCTTCTTTGACATTATCAACACGATGCGAAAGATCGTCAAGAGTTTTTTGCAATGTCAACACTTGATTGATCAAACGTTGTTTTTCTTCTTCTTCTTCGGAATTATAATTCAAGTCGTATGACGTGCGCGAATGCGTTGACAAGGAGTCAGGATCACTTTCAATGTTATTATTAATACCGTTATTGTTAATGATCGCTGCAGCCATGGAATTTGGATCGTTGTCCGGAGTTTGTGCCATGAGATGATGAGTCAATGTTGATCGATCAAATGAATGAGAATGAGAGTATGTGAACTGGTAAACAGTTATTGAAAACAAGCAATCCCGAAGGGAAAGAAAGTCAAGTGTACATTAGCGTCGAAATCAGTTCGTAAAATTCAGAGAAAATATTTCTATACGTTTATACTCAAAAAGAAAATCAAACTGATTCGAGTTGAGAAAATTTTCTTGCGACATCTATCGATCATCATCGTCACGAAGGCTTTGTTATAGTTACAAGAATTGTCAATGGCAATATGTTTGAGTTGTTTTACTTTTTATCATCAGCTGAAATTTTTCTAACAAACTTGTACGTCTAACAGCTATGGCCAAATTAGTGACACGTCCACAACGTTTTACGCCTGAAGAATGGAAATTAGCGTCGAAGGTTAAGCATAAGAACACAGAGCGAGACCGAGCTGCTGCTGAACGACTCATTCTCGAATGTGATCGATTAGATCAAGAAGGCCGTGGTACGGTGGAACGAACATTAGCCGATGTTAACAAGAAATTAGGTAAACTTCTTGTTTTGAGAGATGATTTTTGTTGCGAGCGAGTAGAATCACACAATGAGTAGAATAATATTAAAGTCAGCGGAAAAATGACTACTGCTCGGAAGGAAAAAGCCCACATTTGTCTGCGAGTAGTAGGCGCCGGTAGAGATGACAATAGTCAACACATTGTGTTCAGTTGTGTTAAAGATCGGTCAATAGTTTTTTGTTACTTCATTCATTTCCTGACCTTGAAGTTCGGAAGTAACTATGTTTGTAGTGAATGCGATCGAGCGAGTTAGTGTAAATATTCTATTTCAAACACGGTATCATACTGTATTTGGCCTTTTCATTGTTTTTTTTTCAATCTTGTTTGTTATATATTCCCGTGTCTTGCACATCACAGAAAAGTTCTAGCGTAATTTAAGAAAAGCATTCGATTTCAATTACATACAACAATTAAAACGACTCAAGATGTTGGAAAGATTAATACTGAATCTGATGGATTAACGAATTGCATAGACTCGTAATAGTCTTTTCGAAATGGCCGTTAGGATGCTATAATTTCGAAGGATAGACCGCCAACAGGAAAAATAATTATTCGAACATTTAATCGACTAAATGTCTTTAATTTGTCGACAGTCTGTTTTTTTTCCTCTCTTTATGACTAGTTATGATAACAGATGATCTCAAGGTCATTTATTTGTACTTGTTCGCCTATTTTGTTTTCATAGACCAACGTTTGGACCATGTTAAAAATTGGAAGGGTGAGCTTGAAGTAAAACGAGGCGAATTGGAAAAAGAAATCGATGCAACCGAAACCTACCTTGTACGAGTGGAAAAATCTCTTCAATCACTTCAAGATAACTTACACCTCGCTCAAACAACTTTAGCCAATCGGTAAATGAAAGCGTGAATGAATTCGTTCTACGTCTCGTCTTCTTTGTTCTAGAGAAAAACGTTATGATATTGATTTAGTTCATGATGATGTTCAAAAAGATTTAATTATGGAAATCTCAGCTATCCAAGGAGCCATTGCTTTATTAACACGTACAATTGAACAAATCAAAGAACAACTGAGGTAATAGTTCATCTTTGAAACTAAACTAGATAGTGTTTGCCTTGTTCAAGTAACTAATTTGACGAATTAACTAGAAAATAGTTCTTCGCTATGAAACAAAAAACCAGAGCACACGCATATGTATATATGTATATGAATATATTTGTAACGGACTAGTGTAAAGATCGTTTCATCATTTTTTCCTTTTAATCTTTTGTCGACGTTCACGTAAGATTTCAGTGATTTCATCTACACTTGGTTTTGTTGGAGGCGGAGGCGGAGGCATTGGGAGAAAAGAACTTCGCGTTGCTGTGTCGACTTGTTCAACAATAGATCCAGTCGGTGAGCGTTGAGGCCCTGACGAAGTCATTAACGAACGTCGACGAGTAGGCGTTGGCGCTACAAGTAATTTTGGCGCATTTTGCAGTGAATCATCTGCAGTTGCAGCTAGACTAGGTAGAAGCATTGTATTAGTGTTATCAGTTACTGAAAATCCACCACCAAAACTAGCTGCAATTTTTGGATCGGACATCACAGGTAGAAAAAGTAATTTGCCTAAGCTTAGTAGACCCTGGTCAGGACCTAATGTTGACATCATTTTGGCTAAACCTTCGAGAACGACAGGTTGCTTGGCTTTTTGTTCGTATGAGTTGAATAATTCTTCGATGACATGTGTAACAACGAAGTCGGACGTGTTCGTTTCTAGTAAACGTAAAACGAAAATGCCATCACATTTCAGATAGTTCCGTGCAAAATCTGAATGTGAATCATCGCGATGTAGAAGTGAATCGTCATTCAGCGTTTCAGAGGGTCGTCCTTGTTCTTCAGTGTTCGTCAGAGATTTTCTTAAATGCCGTATTAGGATTAATTTTAATCGTGTGGTGACATATTTGATTCGTACAGGACGAATAAATGAATATGACCATGTAAATAAGGAAATTAAGTTTAAAATAACAATCATTGTATACCAAAAAAATAAAAATGTAAACAATTGTTCGAACAGGAGGTTATTTGGTAAGACACATTCGACGGTGTAACGATGGGAATTGTAGAGATGATTAGGTTCTCGCACTCTATTTGAGAATTAACGAATATCAAACAAACGGAATATATTCGTAAAGAATCGACTTACTCGAAATCGCACAGTGTCACTTTTGGAAAATATTTCGAAAGGCCGCCTTGTTGTCGATAGGACTGTTGCAACGGTTCATTTTGTATGAGTAAAATCAATTTTTGGACTAGTTCTAAACCGTAACGATAATATTTAATTCCGAGCATTTCATTAAATAACGCTAATTGGCCAATTGAATTGATGACATAGAGCACTTTTGTTAATAGATAAACCATCATAAAGTAGTTGCCTTGAAATTTACCGTACATACAACAGAAAACAGCTTGTATACGTTTTAAGATACTCAAATTTCGATTTTCTCTTCCACGACGAGGATCGTCGATAAATTCATCGATTGACGCGATAATATAATCCATAATTTTGCGTCGTTTGTCCATTCGATCAATGGATTTATAACTTTTTCCCGCCTCGATGATATCTTTCAGATCCAAGCCACTCCGAGTCATTAACGATTGCCAAATCAGATTTGGAATGTAGAAGAGAATGCTACAAAATATTTGTCAGAAAAGCAAACACGAGCAATTATTAACTCTCTCTCTTTACCTAAGAAAACATAGAATAAACGGTATCCATTGGTAGTAGAGTAACTGTAAACTTTGTCGTTCGGGACCTGTTCGGGGAATTTTCTGTGTTTGATTTACATAATAAGTATTGGTAATATAACATATATGATTCGTGTAATCTTCATAACCGGATGTAAACAGAGCTGGAACCCAACCTAAGAAAGGAAAATACACAGAAAGTTCGAGGAAAGGAAAGATCAAGGAATTAATTTTACATTGAATTTGTTTGGAACTAAATTGTCGGTTAGTAACAATGGCAGAGAACACGTTGAGGAGAATAACTGTATAACGATAATTAAGACGATCAACGAAATCATCTGGATCAGCTTGAGGTGCCTGATTTTGACCAGCAAGACTCGGAATGCCCTTCAACAAGAGAAATGCCATACGTTAACAATATCAATCGATCGACCATCATGCTTTTTTAGCTGATTAGAATATTGTCGTGATCTTCATGATCATATTCCATAGTTGACAAAATCGCTTGGGTTCGTCTTCTTCTCTTTTGTTAGTCAATCTAGAAGAGAGAGGAAAAAAACAGAAAACAAATGATTTGATCGAGGTAGATTTTGAAAGAATCGATGAGAGAGAAAAACATTTGCGTCTATGTACATATGTCTATCTACATACATCGAGTAGAATGATAATGATCACAAGGCTGATGCTGTTGTTCGCATCATTGAGATCTACGATTGTAAGAAGTTCGTCGACGGTCTCTTTACATTTATCACAAATACAAACGCATAAATACTCATCTATAATTGTCAAAAAGCTTGTTTGATGACAATCACAACAGATAAAAGAATTGGATTTTTTTGTCTGTATATTTACAGAACTAATCTGCGGAAAATGAG